TATATATCAACATAAGCTCAAACATGGCAAATAATTTTTTCTTATAGGCTTTTATTGATGAAATAAATTCAAGTAGTCAAGAATAGTTATGCACAAGTTTAACCATTTTGAGCTTATTAATTTGATTCTAAAGTTTCAAAGCAAGGTTGTTCAGAAGGTTAACATATGTTAGACACAAGGAAATTAAAAAGTCTAACTTTTAGACTCATATTTCCTTGTTAAGACTACTAGAATAAATGTGAAAGCATGTTATCAAAAATGCTTATGTTACTATTATATCATCCTCATCAAATCATTTATGTTCAAGTATAAATGCATCCCATGCTCATATTCCTTGTAATTAACAATTTTGCACAATCAACACTTAATCATATATTTTAAAGCAAATGTAACATGAACAACACTCAATGCTCAAACAAGTAATTTATAATCAATCAAATTTCATCAATTAAGCATTCTTCAAAATTTAAAAGCAATAAGAAAATAGATATAATCCACTTTTCATTTGATGTTCAATATTCAAATTGCCCTTCCTTGTTAATGATACCTACAAAGATCAATTTCACTAGATATTTGGTATCCAAATTGTTTTGGATCCGTAAAGGTTAGTCTCTTCAAACAAATGAACAAAATAATAATTTGAACAATGAATGCAATAGAAATTTAAGAGTTCAAAAGGGTTCCTACTCCTAATTTCTTATCTTTCCTTTCCTTTAACAATACTTTTCAATTTTCAATTTTCTTCTTCTAATTGATCATAATTTCTTTGAAGTATTTCAACATCAATTTTCAATTGATTGTTTTCTTCTATCAATGATTCATTTTCAAGTCTAAGATTTGAAATTTTCTCCTTTTAATTTAAGCTTAGATCTTGAAATGTAAGAGTTAAGTCTTCAAACATATTTGCCAATTCACTATCCATAAGAATATGGGAAGAAGATCCTACTTCATAGTTTCATCTTGAATTTCAAAATTTGATGTTCTCTTCATTGTCACTTGATGAGCTTTCATCCTTCAAATCATCTTTTGCTAGTTCACTTTCAAGTGGTTGTCCATGTAGCTCTTCTAACTTGTCTTATATTTCTTTGGCATAACCACAATTTTGAACTTGATTGTCTTACCTTTCTTTAAGAGCTCTAAGGATAGTATGCATGGTTTTGGCATTGGGTTCAATTAGATCAAGATCATGTGAATTTCAATTTGCCATGTCTTTCTCTGTTTTGTATGGACCATCTTCAAGTTGCTTCTATGTTTAATAATCATTTGCAATAACGAAGTGTCATTATCCATATCTCTAAACATGAAAATCTTCACCATTGAAATATGGAGGCTTAAGATATGGTGATCTTTTTTAGGTCTTGTAATCATCAAGTGCCATGAGACAAAAGTTTACAACTTCATCTTTCTCCTCATCTTCGAAGTCATCACTATTGCTCTAAGTTACTATTATCCCTTTCTTCTTGAATTTTCTTGAAGTGTTCCTCATGTTGTTGTTGGGACACTCATATTTATGTGACTAGGCCTTTGTCAATCAAAACATATCAAGTGATCTCTTATATGTTCTTCCTTAGGCACATCCCTTTTTGTAAGTTTCCTATTTTTGAGGTTTTTTTTCATAAATTTATTAAACTTCCTAGCTAGCATAGCGATGTCTTCCTCATTTTCACTATTAGTCTTAATGTTTCTCTCTTCTTCATTAACTATAGATTAAGGGCTATTCTCTTTTGTTTGATCTTTTCTTTCTTAGTCTTAAGGTTATACCTAAACCTATTTAAGAAAGGTAGTGATTTAGTGGATTTAAACTCCTTGTGATATCAAAGGAAAAGACGTAAGCATTGTTAAGGGTAAACCTCTACAAAAATCATGGCTAAGTGTTCTTCTCTCTTCCTTTCTCCTTTTATCTGCTATGATCATCATTATTCATTTTATCTCCTTGATTTATGCATAAAAGTTTTATACTTTATCTATTATTGAGTGAAAGGTGAAAGCTTTAGCTTGAAAATCCAATTCAACCTGCCTTCTTCCCACCCTTCTTGGGTATTTTACACAAGCTTCTTCATCTAACAAATGATTTTTTAAATATTATAATTTATGTTACCTTATTAGAAAAATATTTTTTATTGATTGATTTTGAGGTTGGTTTTGGCATTTTGAATTGACTTTGGCATTATTTTTTACAATTTCAATTTCTTATTTATATTATTATTTTTAGTAAATTATTGTTTATAATAATATCTTTAATAAAATAAAATTAAATTATAATATTAAAATTTTTGAAAAGTCTGTCGTCATTATTATTATTATTATGTGTATAAATTTTTTTAAAAAATATATTCAATGCAATATAAGAAACCAAAATAATTAACATTTCAAAAAGCTATTAAATCCAATATAAAAAACAAAAAATATATAAATATTTATTTACCTAATATAAAAAAAACCCAAAAGTTTAAAAGAAAAAGAAAAAATCTTCACTTTTTTTTTAATTTATAGAATTAATTTGATAGGTTAATCAAATTTTAGATAAAACTTACTTATATTTCAACAAAACAATTATTTACATGTTAGTTGATATGTCAACTACCAATGTCATCAAGGTTAGGTTGATGAAAATACTAATCGGAAAAATTAGTTATTTATAATGTCGAAAGTATAGAAAGAAATATATGACATTTTAATTATAAGACTGATTTAGACACACGAACTAAATTTTGAGAATTATAAATGCAATTTACTCTGGGTTTTATAAAGCAAATTATAAGGATTGGACATAGGTTTCAATCTTAAAGGATTTAGTAAATAAAGTAAAACTTTTAATTTATCAAAACAAAAATCCTAGTAAAAATTATTTACAACTTTTGGGGTTGTCGTGTGTTAAAGCATTTTGTATATGAATTTGGTAACGACCCCTGGACTGTGAAGGGGATGAAACCCCATGAATTCACATGACCATGGTCTGCAATCACAAATATATCCCACAAAATTAATCTTTAACATTTTCTACTTCACCAACAATCTCTCCACCTTATCATCATCTCACCATATTTTGTTTTTATCAACATTATAACCCTTTAGCTAGTTAGTGTTCTGAAATTATTAAGCATAGTGCTCGAAAAAATTTTTAAAAATTTTTTAAATAAATATTTAATTTTTTATTACGTTCTATTAAGTTAATATATTTATATTTTGAGTCGAATAGGTCTTTATAATTGATAATTAATTAATTATTATTAGTTAAAATTTTAATTATTATTTTATATCTATATAATGTTGATGTGATGTTGACATCACAGGTGAAATGACATATGACTATATTATTATATTACATCATTATTCATTATGACATGTCAACATATCATGTGGTATAAAATGATAAATGATAACAACAGTTAGTCAATCATTACTAACATGAATTTATTTGATTCAAAATAAAAATATAAAGACTTGATTGAATGTAATAAAAAAATAAAGACTTAATTATTATTTTTACATAATATAAGATCTTTTTAAGTATTATGTCAAATCATTATATTAAATAAAATATTTATCAAATTAACGATCAATTAATAAATAACATCTTAATGGGCATTCACCAAAAAAATCAAATACAAAAAATATAAATTGTAAGACATCGAACCATGATTATTGATTTTATGGGTGAAATTAAAAAATTTATTCAATGGGTATTTTTATTAAAGAATAAAAAATATTATAAAAATGTGAAAAATAGCTCAAAGAAATTTTATAATACTACGAAAATCCAGATACTCAATTATGTTAAATGAAAATCTTTTTGATAATATAGAAAAGATTCAAATTATTTACACTAACAAGAAGGGACACCATAAACAAGTAATCCTAGCATTGAATATACACCAATATATTTTAATGGACTTGTGACCTTTAAACGTTCTCTTGACAACGCAATCTAGTCAAAATCTAACTTTTACGAACTTATATCATCATGCTACATTGCAACTTGTTACGATAACCTTGCTACATTGGAATGATATTCTAGCATGTAACTAATCTCACGAGATTTTTGATACAAAAGATTCACCGGAACAGTAACTATAAAGTATTGCTTATTGAGTATGAGCAATGTTTTGATACTCGAGTACTAATTATAAAAAAAAAAAAAGAGTAATCAAAGAGAGGAAACTTAGAAAAACATAACTTATAGTTCATAAGGAAATATTTTGCTTAAAAGAGTTTTCCAAACATAAATAAAGATGATTTAATAGTTTCAATTCTAGGTAAAGTAATTGTTAGTACCCATTCTATGAATAATTTTGAACAAATTTACTATACATGAAAGGCATATTAGGATTAGCTGCCTGCCCCACCCTGAATCCGGCGCTGATTGATTTTGATTTGGAGCAATTATGAGTCACATCGTCTTTAATTAAGGTGGTGGGGATTATGATTAGTAATCTCTCTAATTCCCCACAACAAAAGAATCAATTGACACCAGTGAAAGCACTTGGGGCCATAGAAGGCAAAAAGCACACCCCCCCTTCTTTTACTTTTTTCTGCCCAGAAGTGCCTTCACAGATTTACTGCTCCCTTCTTTAATTTAAGGTAAAGTAAACAAATTTATAAACAGAGCGTTCTCTTTCCAGCTTGATTCATTCACAGGATATCGAAAGCGAGTTTCGAATCTCATATTGATTATGTATTATAATAGAAATTAAATATTTAAATATTTATATTATCTTTTATTACAAGATTTAAAACTGTAAAAGTTAAATAGATTTGTGTGGACCGTGACACCGACATTCAGGAGCATCATCTTAGAATTCCGGCTGTTCCCCTGACTATTTCTGTCCCTCACGTTACCTTTATTCCAATCCGAGACCTTGTTGTCAGCTTTGATGATTGCCCCCTAGGGGAATCTGGACTGGCACCGTTCATACCTGACTGTTGCATTTACACAAGAGAAAGATTCCCTCCCATAACCCTTTGATGTAAAGACAAAATTAACTATTAAAAGAAATGGGGAAAAAAAAAACCACAAGTTGATAACAAATTATGAATAATACAGCAAGAAATTTACACAAACTTTACAGGCAAATAGTATCCAGAATAACAACAGTTTCTTTTCACATTGCACACATGTCCATCCCCTCCCATTCATATTCCTCAAATATTCTCTTCTTCAATGGTACCCAGAATCATTTTAACAGTATATCAAAGACCAAAGAACCAAAACCCCAATAAACTAATAGAAAAAATATATATAAAATTAAATCCCCCAAGACTCTAAATTTATAAAATTAAATTTTAAGCAAAAAGAAAGCCTGTCATTTAAAAAAAAAAACAAAAAAACAAAAGAACAGTTCTTATTCTGCCATATGCACTGTCTTCAACTTGACAGATGATTCAAGCCCCACCAAAGGAATTGTAGTTGAAGCTTTCAATCAGAATAAGGCTTGGTCTTGGACCTGTAGAGGAGCTTCTTCTTCTTTGAAGTTTGGTTATCAATGGTGAGAACAACCTTGCCAGGTTCACCAGTTTTGAAGCTGTCAGAGATCACTGCTTCATCAGCTGTGGTAACTTTCCTTGTCTTTGATACAATCACTGTATATCCGTCTTCAGCACTTGGCACAAATTCAGCTCCATAGTTGACATCCCATCCCACAACTCGGAGCTCCCAAACCTGATTGCACTTCTGCTAATTCCAAGAACCAAACATTGTTCATAGAGTGTTAAATTGCAATTAATTAAGACACGAATCGATTACAAAATTGGTATTTAATGAATAAGATCAAGATGTTCTTCTCTTACCTCAGTTATAGGGAACTCAACGGTGTGCTTGGATGCTGGCTTGATTGTAACCTCTGTGACAGCATCAGCAACGGTAAATTCCTGTTCACCCTCCCTGCTCAGTCCACCATACTGAACTGGCACTTGTTCAGGAGCAATATATCTATTTATCCACAAGCAAAGACATGGGTTATTATATGAATTACATGGAAAATTATAAAGAGAGGCCATTTATGATAGTAAACAAAAAGGAACAGAAAACAAAGGAATCATTCATACCGATCAAACAGCTCATCAATAGAAAGCAAACAAATGTACCAGAGAGATATTTAACTGATCAAGTAATAAACATGGATACTTATTCATGGGCAAGTAAGTTAGAAAGAGAAGAAATTATTGGAGTCCACTTACCTGAAGAGGGTCTCAGCAGATTTGGCTGGACCTGAGAACACAAACTTGCTCTTGGTTCTCTGTGTCAGGAAAGGACTAATCATCATATTGAAGGCCAGGTACCACCATGGAACATTGATAAACACCTTCCAAATCCAAAACCAATAATAAATTATAACAGAGAATAAACTAGATTAAAGCATTTGTCCTTTTTATCTTTGAGAAGCTAAATATACCTGTTTGGCCACAAATTCGGGATAGTTATCCTGAAGCAAGTTAAGGGCCTGATTGGTAGCTTGCCTGAGCTCCTTTTTGCCAGGTCCGGGGGAGTTCTTGAGATCGTTGACCTGGACTATGGTACAGATACCACTAGGACTGAAGTCAAGCTTCCTGATGCTCTTTTCCAAGAACTGAATCCTCCACCTCAAGAACTTGGATCGTTTTTCCTCATCAGCAAAAGCATTCTGGTACAACTCCTTGTTCTGGAATTCTCCGTACACGTTGTAGCAAACAGGATGGCCTTCCTTATCAAACCCGTGCATGAAAACCACTTTCTCCAGTTCATTTCCAAGCTCTTCATCAAGCAAGCCTTCAATTCCAAACTCCTTTCGCCAGCGGGCAGTGTTCTTGATCATAGTGAATGCGTCCTTCACCTTGAAATCCCTTGCCCTCAGGAATTTCAATAGAATAACATCGCTTCTCTTCGTCCGCAAGAAGCGGAATTCCCCATATAGACACCTCTTCTGGTGGAGGTGGAGGGACTTCAGCTTCTTTTGGCTCCTCTGATGGAGTAGCCGTCTCTGCTTCCTTGGAGGCAGAGGCCTCTTCCTTCTGTTTCTCTGCCGGAGGAGGAGCAGAGACTGCTACCACAGACTCCTCGATTGCCTCCACGGTCTTGGCGCCATCGTCGTCGACGGCTGTCACTTTCTCAACCACCTCTGTGACAACCACAGTCTCGGTTGGTGCCTCAGCAGGTGGGGGGGTCTTCTCTTCTTCCTTGACTTCAACAGGGGCGGGTGTTTCAGTTTCGACTTTTGAAGAGGCTTCAGATTTTTCTTGAGTTTCGACTTTTTCAGAGGCTTCAGATTTTCCTTCAGTTTCGACTTTGGGTTCTTCTGAAGTTGCAGCAGCAGGTTTCTCTTCTTCTTTTTCTTCTTTCTTCTCTTCCTGTTTCTTTTCCTCGGCAACAGTTTTCTTCTGCTTTGGGTGGTGGGGTGGAGCAGTGAATTCGTGCTTGTTAAGGCCTTCTTGGAATAAGCTGTTTAAGCTCTTCAAGAGCCTTCTTCTGCGGCTCAGGAAGTTCACCAACTATATTGGTTTCTTCCTTGAATGAAACCGATTGAGTGATCTTAGTCTCTTTCTCCACAACCTTAGGCTTCTTAACTTCAACAGCCTCTACCTCAGCTTCCTTCTCTTGGACTACAGCAGCTGCTGGCTTCTCTGGTGCCTCAGGCTCAGGCTCGGGAGCATGTGGTGGTGGCTCTTTCTCAGTAACCTCAGGCTTCACCACCACCACTTCCTCAGGTGGCGCAGCAGCTGCAGCTGCTTCTGGCTTTTGAGTCTCCTCAGCCATGGATGAGCTGATGATCCTAAAATGAAACGGAACGAGAAAGAGGGAAGGATAGTTTGTACTGTAGGAAAACACTTATGGGGGAGAGATGAGGGAGAGAGAGTGTTTTCGTTTCAAGTTCAAGGGAAAAGTGGGGGGCTTTAGGCTTAAAATGAGGCGTGATTTGAAGGAATGGAGGCGACGTTTGTTGGACATGGGGAGAACCAGTCTGTCAGACCCGTTTGCCAGCTATTATGCCACTTTGTTAGTGGACCCCGCTCTCTCTTCCCCTCCCCCTTCTAATTCCAAACCGCTATCTTTGCCACTACTTCTTGCTTTCCTAACTTGACTAGGTGTTCCGTTTGCCCCACGTTCAACTCCTTTGTCTTTCTATTTTCTCTTTTTCTTTTATTTTCCCCTTTTCTTCCAAATCGAACATGGTTTTAGGTGAACCCTTTTGAAATTATCAAAATCAAAATCAAAATCAAATTTGAAGATTACAACTTTTAGATTCAAAAGATTTAATGGCCACATATCATTTAATTGTTCAATTATTTATAATTTAAACTTACCTCGATCATAACATCTCTTATAAAAATTTCATAATAATGAAGAATTAGATATATATTAATCCATGAACTTTATCTATTAAAGAGAAAAAACACCCTTACTTATAAAGTTAATATTCATTTAATCTTTTATTGGTATTAGGTCCGTGACATATTTGAGAGGTAATTTTCGCTTTTAACATTTTTCTTGTGAAATATGAATTTAATCAAGACTTTGATTAGTCGTGACGATTGTAGGGGCAGAAAGGAATGTAATGTAGAGCAAGTTTTGTTAAACGTCAATTTCATCTAGACATGAATATTTTTGACCTTATCCCTAAGGATTCCATGCTCATCTTCATCTCACAAATAGTTTAAGCCATTCAACTTCCCTATTTCTAAATCATGATTTATATATATATATATACATCCTTCAATCAATGAAGTCTACATTACATGAGTATAGTTTTGACCCTTAATTAATATATTGTTTTCTAGACATTTCTCAATATTATTAAAAAAATTATAGTTATTTAACAAAATATAAATTATTAATTTTAATAAAAACCATAGTTATTCAAATTAATGTTGTTAAACATTTGTCATTCAATTCTAGAAACTTTCCTTATCTCGATCAGCTATTTCTCTTCCCAGCCTCATATGTTTTTGTCTCGTGACTTTGTCTATAAGAAAGTTTTATATCTTAGTCTAAAAGAAATTAATATGCATTTTCCTATATTCTTTTATCTATGAAATTTATAAAATGATCAAAAAGGATTTCGGAGGTTTATGCCTTAACTCATCGATTTTTAATCCTTTTTTAAATTACATGTGTAAGGATGTCAACAAGTAAGGTATTTTTTATTTTTAAAATACCTTAACCCGAATCTTACTTAACCCGAATCTTATAAGTATTTGATTAAAATTTTAAATTATTATTCGAATCCTTATTACATTAAATATTTGATTAAAATAGGCTAAAACTAATTTTTATGTATATCATTAATGAAAATTGAATTAATAAATTAAAGTTAGTTCATAAAAAAATAACACATATATAATTAAAATTTAATAGTGAAAATTATTATTTATAATCTGATCCTAATAGTTAGTACTTTAAAACATTACCCAAATCCTTCCTGAACTCATGATAGGGAATTAATTTATTAATTAAATCTTAACTAAACTTAATTATAAAGTATCTTAATCTTACTTAATAAGATTAAGTTATACAGGGTACTAATTATAAGATATTCATTGACATCAATGTGGGTATGGTTTAATATATGAAGAAAAAAAATTTATTATAAAAGTACAAATAAGATGTTTGATTTTAATATTTTTTAAAATTTTCATTTAAATACAAAATCCATGTAAGTTTTTTTCTGATAAAGTTCGGAGTCAAAACTTCATAGAAAAGTACTAATATATGATAACAAACAATTAATGAATTTTTAGTTTTAACAATTTCAATTAATGATGATAAAATTATTCTAAGGAGAAGTATATTATAATAATTAAAAAATGAAATTAATTGTAAATAATATATGTTGCGTCTCATTATTAAAAAAAAAGAAAAAAGAAAAGCGATGGAGAAATGTCAATTAATTGATGTATGACAATGGAAGGGTTAAGCTGCTAATATCTTTCAAAACAGCGGGCGGCACAATCTTAGGATTAGTCAAATGACAGATTACAAACCGCTTTGCACGTAACCTTGATGTCTGAATACATATATATAAATTCAGTATATTTTTATTTAAAGAAAAATATTTTCCATTCCCACTTATGACTTAACACCCTCCCTAATTTTAAATTTCACCTTTTAATTATTATTCAGCCCCAAGAATCCAATACAACAAAATGCTACACAGTGACAGAGCTGTCAAAAAGAAACATATCACAGGAGGCCAACTTTCGAGTTGGACCACGCCCAACACCCCACTGCAAGAATGTCTCTGGTTTCGCCACGCGTCTACGCCCTAAAGACAGCCTGTCATTTGATCACAACAATCATTAATATCTTTCTCTTATTTGTGTAATATTTTAAAATTTTTTCGAATTATAAAAAAATTTTAAAATTTTTTAATTTTTTATCATATTTAATTAAATTTTTATATTTTTATTTTAAATTAAATAAATTATTTATAATTTAATAATTAATTATTTATTATTAATTAAATATCACTTATTATTATTTTTATCATGATGTACTTTACGTAATAATGATATAAAAAGTGAAATATATATGATTATATTATAATATTAAATTAAAATATTATTTTATTATTTATTATGATATATTAATATATTATGTTAGTATTTTAATTAATAATAATTAATTAAATATTAATTATAAAAATTTAAAAATTTAATTAAATATAATAAAAGTGTTTTTGAATGGTTAAAAAGATATTATCATTTTTTAGAAAAAAAAATTCTTCATTTTGAAAATTCTTATGAGACCTTGACATTATCGTCTCCTCTTGGAAAAAAAGCCAGCTTAAAAAAGGGCAAAAAAGAGAAAAACTCTTAAGTTGAAATAATAGGACCCACAAATACCCCCAAGTGTTTTCTTGCTTCACAAAGCAACCCAAAGCTGTTGGTTGGTTTTTCTTGGCTGGCCCTTTCTATAGTTTTTGAATTTTAGAAATAGAAAAAAAAAATCTCTTGTGTTTGCTTGTGTACTTAAGAGGAAAAAAAAAAAAGAAAATCTAACGTTTGGGACTTTAAGAAAAGACAAAAGAGAGCCAAAACGGCTAACAAAAGTAGTAACGGGTTAGGGTAGTTGTTGCGTCGGGACCGCGGTGAATAGAAAAAGTGCTTTGGGTTTTGGTTTTTAGGGTTGGGGTTTGGCTTTGGATCTTGCTTGCGTAGGTAGGGGCGTTAAATGTTTTTACAGAACAGAACGCAGATGCTGTGTCGGTTTTAGACTTTAAGATTCGAAAGAATGTTCCGCACTCGAAGGTTGGGGCTCCGCCGCAGCCGGACAACATGACACGAGACACAGGACTAGCCACTAGGCGCAGTTTACCAAGGTGCTGTCATTTCATAATATTATATTTTCGATAAAGTTTACTTATTTTTATTTTAAATTAAATAAATTTTTATAATTAATATTTACTATTAATTAAAATTTTATTTATTATTTTATATGATATTAAAGATAAAAAAATTATAAAATCATGCCGTTGTACTACATCATGCTATATCATATATTATAATATTTTAATATATCACATCGATATTACGTGACATAAAATAATACATGACATTTCGATCGATCATAATTAATCAATTCATTACTCAAACTTATTTGATAAAAGTTTATTTAAAAATTTTAAATTAATTTAAATACGTTTTTAGATATTATATTAAATTTTTATTTTATTCTTGATTTAAAAAAGAAAAGAGAGAACTTTGAACTCATTTTTGAAATCACAAGTGAAACCAAGATTTATATTAGGGGTAGAAAAATACATGCAAGAAAGTAAAAAAAAAAACTAAAATTTGATAAAAAATATATAGAAGAAAAATTAAATTCAAATGAAAGTAATATAATTGGAAATAAAAGTATATTTTTTTCATAAAGTAAAAGATTTACAAATTTCAAACATGGTAATACACGAACGTGGAGGATAAAATAAAATGTCTAACTAATAAGTATGGGTAAAAGATGCAGTAGAGGTTAGAAAAATTTTAAAAGGGTGAAAATAAAGGAAGAAATTGAAAATAAAATTACAAGCACAAATCAAAATGCTTGCAAAATATAGCAACTTATATCTTCTTTAATTGTATTTTCTTCTAGAAAGAAATTGCTTGACTATGATATTACAATTACTGTTTACCAAAAATAAAATATTTGTTTGATTAAGATAAGATTTTAATTTTAGGACTTAAAGTTAAGTGTAATAAGCAATAGTAAAAAAAGAAAAAAAAGTCAAAGAAAAACCATGTACATAATATATGGTTTGGAACTAAAAAAATGGTATCTAATTTTAAAATTTATCAACATAAATTAACATAAATCAATACAATTCATCAAAAATTTTAACAAATTTTTCAAGTACTTTTTTTTAGTTTAGGTACATGATTGATAATTTGCTATTTTTCAAGTACTTTTTTTTTTTGTAATGAACTCTAGTATGAAATATTCTCTTTCTTTTTCTTTTCTTTTTTTGAAAGAATTAACATGAAATTTTCTTGATTAGATCTAATCATATATTACAAACTTATTCTTGATGCCATGTTTGTAAATTAGTACTTTATCATATGAAAAAGTTATGTTTTGACATAATATTTTAACAAATTTTTGAATTATTTAAAATAATTTAGATAAAAAATTTTTATTCTTCTATTGTATTTAATTAAGTTTTTATATTTTTATTTTTGATCAAATAAGTTTTATAATTAATAGTTAATTAACTATCATTAATTAAAATATCATTTATCATTTTATATCTACGTGTCGCTAACTTAGTATGGATATAAAAGATGAAAAATATCATATGACTATATTATCATATCATATCATTATTTATTATAACTTATCAATATATCTCGTTAATATCACATGACATAAATTGATAAGTGAGGTTTATTGATCTTAAAAATTTATTTAACTTAAAATAAAAATAAAATAATTATATTATACATAATAAAAAAATAAAAACTTTTAATTTTTTTTTAAATATTATGTTATAATTTATAGACGCAATAGAGTTGGCATCGGGGTGCACCAACCTGACCCCGTTGGAGCAAGTGGACTAAGTTATTAAGCCCCACCCTAGCCCTCTCTTTTCTAAATTATTATTTTATTAAACCATTAAAAATTATATTAATAATAAATACTATAAGTCTATGTGGGATCGTGTTGGGCTGAATCTTAGTCTAGCACAGGTTTGCTTAGGCCTGACTCCAGCTCAAGCCAAGCCCGACAACTTGGAAGCCTGTGGAACCTACTTCATCTAATAATAGTCAAATTAGATTAATGTTTTGCTGAAATCTAAAATATTGTATCATTTATTTATTTGTAATTAATATTCCTTTTTCTTTTTCCATGAATTACTAATTTTATGTACAATATAGCAGATAGTGAATGTTAAAAAAAAAAGAAACATCAATTAGCTAAATAAACATGTCTTTTAATTTGCCTTTGTATATGAAAAAATTTGATATCTATTTTAAAAATTTTTTAAATTATTTAAAAAAATGCAAATAAACTCATACTCTTCTATTACATTTAATTAAGTTTTTAAATTTTTATTTTAAATCAAATAAACCCATATAACTAACAGTTGATTAGTTGCATTAGTTAAAAATGACATTTTTATAATAATATATTATGTAGAGGGTGAAAAATATCATATGATTATATAATTATTCTATATCAAAATATCATATTATTGTTAAATATAATATATCAATATGACACACTTAATGTTACGTGACGTAAAATAAGTAACGAGTTTAACAATAATAATTAATCAATAGTTAATTATAAAGACTTATTTAATTTAAAATTAATCCATATATATATATATATATATATATATATGTATGTATGTAATGTAAGCAATAGGATGTAGGAATTTGAAGATGATCCTAGGGTGGGGCCAAGTTAAAATGAATAAATTTGTTTTTTTATATTTAGTGTAAGGAAATGGCTAAGATTGGTGGGTTGACAGGTAAGGTCCAACTAACACCAATCATCAAATTGTCAAATACATAGAATTCCATCAAATTGATAGGTTTCGTTTCTTTGGGTATTTTTGTTGGTATAAAAACTTAAGAATCTGATTATGAGAATCTGGTTGCAATCTTTCCCCATGTTAGAACAGCTGGATTTCAGAATCATTCCAATAAAAGCAAGCTGCAAGAGACAGCCTTTAGGTCAAACCTTTATGCAGCACCACGGCCATTAGATTTTGCATTATATTTTCTTCTAATTTGCTAAATTTGTTTCTAGATAACCAAAGTAATGTACATAGTTTATACATTATTTTTTATAATGGTAGTCAAACACAAATATTGAATATAAAAAAAAAATTGACATAATGCTCAAAAAAATTCTTGAATTATTTAAAAAAATTTAAATAAACTCTTATTTTTTTATTATATTCAATCAAGCTCTTTAACTTTTATTTTGAGTCAAATAAATTCTTATGATTAATGATTAATTAATTATCATTAGTAAAAATATCACTTGTCTTTTTATATTTACATGGCATTGATGTGGCATTGATGTGGAAAATGAAAAATATCATATGACCATATCATCATGCCACATCAACACATAATATTGTAAAGGCAAAGCTAGAGCATTTCAAAAGGGGGGCAAACAAAAAAGAACATTAAATAGTTAAAAAGAATTTTATATATAATTCAATTATCATTCATCTAAAAAATTAAGTAAAATTCAAAAGATATTAGACATACAAAAAAATGTACATTAATAGTAATGATGGTGTCATTTATATATATGACTGAATGAAACTATAAAAGAAGTTTCCCTCACTCTTTGTACTCAAGAGTGTTAGAGAAAACAATTTTTCAAACTCAAATGAATTGCCCTTTTACTTTGTGTGTTCTAACTCTCCTCTTATATTTTCTATTTGCTTCTTAAATTACTAATTAACATATTGGATTATTGGATTGAACTATCAAGATACAATATGTTATGATAGGTTATTAAATTGGATTGTTTATATATAATATGTTATGACAGGCTTAGATTTATATTAAAACTTAATGGGTTTGGATTAGTAGACTCACTTTTATTTTTTATTTTTAAATTTGATTGGCTTAATATATTAGTTTAGAATTTATTTGTTGAGCTTAACTAGAAATATGCTAACCATAATAACTCTAATTTTATCAATTAGTTTGAAGAGT